CCAGTATCAAGGGCAGTACCATTCAGCCCAGACTTTTTATGTTCCCATCTGTTGTAGAAAGCTTCCAGGTTTTCTATGAAAGCAGCTTTGATGTTGTCCTCTTTTAATACCCTTGTGATTTTAGTCCACAGATTTTCCTCATTTGGGCATACCCAAAAACACTTCTCTGTTTTAATACTGCTTGTAGCTAGTTCTTGAATATCTGCACAAGGGGCGTGACACCAATTTCCACAAAAATGACAATTTATCCATGTGGAAGCCCGTTTGTTTGACTGACCACAGACTACACACAGCTTCATAATGATTTGAATGGTTGATTTACTGCAATTCTACTAGCAACCTCTTGAATATTCTATTAGTAACCTTAAATGAAGCTCTAGCTATTTGTATTTCTGTTTCTAACTCTTTTTGTATATTGGACAGCTTATTGTCCAACAAAACCGTTTGAAACCAGTCCTGGGTTCGGACCAGTCAAGGGTTCGGACCAGTCGATCTGATCTGATCAGTGGGTCACTTATTTAAAACATACTGGTCGGTGATTTGAGCTAACACATGAAGGATCTACTGGAAATTATCTACCCGAGTAATATGTGATTTGACTGATACAAAAGTATAACTTGCGTGTTGAAGAAATCGGTGACTCCTGGCAGTCCTACAGTGACGAACGGTCGACCTCAACCCTTGTTTATCAATCGCTGTATCTAGCTTTTCTATTTTTTTTCCCGTCTCCACCACAATAAATGCTATATTATCACTATAGTTGACTGGTGCAAATTTTGGAGGAAGGACGCTTTTTCTGTAGTAATAATTGCTTCTCGTTGTGTATATTGCGACGCTGGTAACTACAGGTTATATGAAAATCACAGTAACGTCTGGTTTTTTCAAGAAAAAGAAACTAATGAAAGTCACTCCACTCCACTAAGTACCATTATAATACTGGTTAGTTGCTACTAAAAACACTGTATTCTGCTATTCACTGGTATCACTAGATTATATGCGAGTACACTAGCAGGCCAGGAAGATTTTTAAAAACAGCTGACCTGTGGTAAGTTTCTGGCGACTTCTGGCACCTGCCTCTATAGGCCTATCACTTCATTTACAAATTCACCTGTTTTCAAATGACACTTTAGCCTTTATCATCAATATACTAGGGAGCCACTGTAGTATACACTATACACTATGTATACTCAATGTTATCAGGGAGACTTTCTTTCCTCTGACACGAAAAGTTCAATTATTATTATTTTTTTCACACGGGACACAGGCCTATGATTCCCCTCTGGCAGTAAACTCTGCTAGGTAGTGCACACTAATTCTCCTTTTTTGACTCAGTATATAATGTTTTCCGCCCAAGATTGGTTCCAGGCGCTAGAGGGATGTATCGTATGTATCGGATGTATCGGATGTATGGTATTGAAGGCATCAGTCCTTAAACAAAATGGCTTATTAATATCTGGAATTTTAAGTATAGGGTCTTCAGAGAAGATGTTCTTAATCTCATTAAACTTTTCTCGAGCTACATCAGAAAGGTCAAGAGGTTCCTTCACAGACTTTTTAAGGAAGTCTGATAAGATGCCTGTAAGATCAGTAAGGTTGGGGATAAACCATGCATAAAAATTGACAGAACCAAGAAAGCTATGCATGAGCTTCTTGGTACAGGGGGAATTTAAACTCTAATACAGCTTTGATCTTACTGGGGAGAGGCTGCAAAGAGTTATTAGAAAGAATCAGTCTGAGATATCTAATTTTGTTATACCCAAGGAAGCATTTCTTCGGATTGGCAGTGAGGCCATTTGCGTGTAACCTATGTAAAACTGATGTTAATGTTTGGATATGCTTGCCCCACGTGGATGTCATTATGTAAATGTTATCAAAATAAACTGAAACATTTGGCATATTACCCAAGACCTTTCTCATCAGTCTCACGTAGGTAGCACAGGCAGTTACCAAACTGAAGGGCATAGTTCGATACTGCATCAGTCCTTGGTGTGTAGGAAAAGCAGTGTACTGCTTAGAAGAAGGATCTAACATTACTTGATGATATGCCTGTGCAATATCAATCTCTGAAAAGAAAGAAGAATCATAAAATTTGTGTAGATCACTATCTATTAGGGGCATAGGCTCAGCATCCCACCGAGTTATAGCATTAAGTTCTCTGAAGTCAATAGCAAGTCTATATGAATTGTCTTCCTCCTTAACCATGACTACTGGTGAGCAATATGCAGATACTGAAGGTTCAATGATCTTTAGTTTTAATAATTTGTCTACCTCTCGGTCAAATGCATCCCTAAGGTGAACGGAACTGGGTATAATTTCCGTTTGATAGGATTGTCCGTGATTAAGTCAATCTTATGGACTATCGTGGAGGTGACACCTCGAATATCAGTAAAAATGTCTGAGAAGTTACTCACTCATTGAAGTAGTTCATGTTTCTTATGGTCATCCAAAGACTCATTAACATTAATGTTTGTTGCACCCGAGTGGTCAAGAGTCACCAAGCCATGTAGTTTTCTGTCATAGTCTATGTTAGAGGTTTCAATTACGCACACATTACACTCATCAGTTGTCTTATCAAGTTTGTGTGGAAAAACTAAATCAAAGTCATTAAGGCAGTTCACGGAATTTCTTCGGTAATATTTTTTAAGAATGTTGATATGATAAAGCTTAGGTTTCCCCTTGACTTCTCTGAGGTAATCAACCTTCCCACAAATTTTCAATACCTTATATGGACCTTTCCATGCTACTAATAATTTATTTTACTTTATTGGTAAAAGTACAAGAACTTCATCCCCTACTTTAAAACTTCTCCTCTGACTTTTGGCATCAAAATAGGTTTTGTACTGGTCCATTGACAAGCTTAAGTTTTTTGAAACTATGTCAGAGGTCTCCTCAAGTTTGGATCGAAGGTCAAGGAGAAACTGGTAAGAAGACTGAACCTCAGCATTTCCCTCCTCATTAGTCCATAAGTCATGAAGGATGGACAATGGACCTCTGGCCTGTCTACCATAGAGAAGTTCAAAAGGTGAAAATCCCCAGAGAGTCACTGGCAACTTCCCTCATGGCAAACAAAGCACAGGGTAGGTAACGATGCCACTCATATAGACCAATAGCTCTAATTCCCACATCATAAAATCTTTGAAAGAGTTCTAAGAAGCAGGATTGCAAACCATTATGATATAGTCTTGGATGCACTGGAAGACAAACAGAATGCAGATGATACACAGATTCTGCAAAAGCCTTTGACAAGTGTGATCATGGTGTAATACCACACAAAATGCGTGCTAAACTGGTAAAGTGGGCAGATGGATCTTCAACTTTCTAACCAATCGAACACAAAGAGTAGTGGTAAACAGAATTAAATTTGAAGCTGCCATTCAAAAATTCAAATTCAAAATTCAAAGTTTATTCTCTAGTGAAGAGCTCTGTTCTACAAGGCACAGAGCTCGTCCTCATCCTGTTCCTCATCCTCATATCAGACATAGACAGAGATGTAAACCATAACACTGTATCATCCTTTGCAGATGATACGAGGATCTGCATGAGACTGTCATCCATTGAGGACACGGTAAATCTCCAAGAAGATATAGACCAAGTTTTCCAATGGGCAACTGAAAGCAATATGATGTTAAATAAAGACAAATCCAACTAATCCAATATGGAAAACTGAAGGAAATAATAAACAGAACTGAGTATACTACAAACTCTAATCACACAATAGAAGGAAGGACCTAGGAGTAGTAATGTCTGAGGATCTTACCTTCAAGGATCACAACAGTGCCACTATCACATCTGTGAAGAAAATGATGTGATGGATATTGAGAACGTTTAAAACAAGAGATGCCAAGCCAATGATGATCCTTTTTAAATCACTTGTTCTCTCTAGGCTGGAATACTGCTGTACATTAACACCTCATTTCAAGGCAGGTGAAACTGCAGATCTAGAGAAAGTACAGAGAACCTTTACTGCAAATATAAGTTCTGTCAAACACCTTAACTACTGGGAGCACTTGGAAACACTTGACTTGTACTCACTGGAGCGCAGGCGAGAAAGATACATCATAATCTGTACCTGGAAAATCCTAGAGGGACTGGTCCCTAATCTACAAAGAGAAATCACTCCTTACAAAAGCAAGTGGTGCAACATACCCTCAATGAAAAGTAGGGGTGCCATTAGTACACTGAGAGAAAACACTGTAAGTGTCCAGGACTCAAGACTGTTCATCAGCCTCCCACCAACCATAAGGGTAATTACCAATAGACCCCTGGTTGCCTTCAAGAGGGAGCTAGACAGATACCTAAAGTCAGTGCTGGATCAGCCGGGCTGTGGTTCATACATCGGACTACGTGTGGCCAGCAGTAAGACCCTAGTTGATCAGGGCCTAATTCACCGGGAGGCCTGGTCATGGACTGGGCCTCAGGGGTGTTGATCCCCGGAATACCCTCCAGGTGAACTCCAGGTAGACCTGCATATGATGGGTCAATACATGACACCTGCACATACTGGATCAGTGCATGACACATGCATGTGCTGGGTCAATGCATGACACCTGCACACACTGGGCCAGTGCATGATACACCTATATACACTGGGTCAATGCATGACACATTCAGCAGGCGGTGCAACATCCCCCCAATGAAAAGCAAGGGAGCGATGAATATGCTAAGAACCAATGCAGTGTCAGGGGCCCAAGATTGTTCAGTTACCTCCCAGCATAAGTAAGGGGGATTACCAATAGACCCCTGGCTGCCTTCATGAAGGAGCTGGATAGGCAATTAAAGTCAGTACCTGACCAGACGGGCTGTGGTTCATATGTCGGTTTGCGTGCGCACAGGAGTAACAGCCTGGTTGAGCGGGTCCTGATCCACCGCAAGGCCTGGTCATGGACCGGGTCCCGGGGGCGTTGGTCCCCGAAACATCCTCCAGGTATACTCCAGCTATACCTGTACTTGCTGGGTCAGTGTATAACACACCTGAGTGGGCGGGTCAGCTCATAACATACCTGCGTGAGTGAGGTCTGCGCATGACACGCTCAAGGGTAAACAGAAGACGGTCAGCGGGTGAGAGAGGTTGGTCGTGGAGTTCCTCTGCTAATTCTCTGCCTTTCTCTCGATAACTGTAACAATAACATCATTAAAGAAACAGGAAGTATATTTGATAAAAGGATAAAATGTAAAGTTTTAATAATCATTCATTTCTAGTCATTTTGAATGCTAATATATGAATAAAGAGGGTTACAGTTGATAAATTGAGTTTTAACATAATTTAACTATGCAGAATTTACATCAGATTAAGGAGAGACTTTGTAACTATTTTCTAAAGCTGGTGAAAGAGAACTTTTCCGTATCTTTTTTCAAGGTCTTCCAAATATCATGACCCTATATTTCTATGGAGTTACTAGACGGATTGCGTCGGACACTTGGTACGTCAGAGACGTACTTGTTTCTTGTGTTGTGTTGCAGGTCTCCACGAGGAGGAGAGTTGGGTTGAAGTTTATTTTCGGTGTATTGTGTATATATGAAAAGTACAGTAGCAGGTGTTGATATGCTGTGTTGAAAAAAAATAGAGATTTTTTGAAAAGTTGGGGAGTGTGTTTAATGGAACGAGATTGTGTGATTATTATATCAGCTGGTTTCTCTCGGGTAACAACAGGTTAAAGGTGATTTGATTCTGTAGATCCCCAAGCTCTGATACTATATGTGAGGTAAAGATAGATTAGAGTATATTACAAAGTGAATAATATAGTTTGAGGTATACAGTACTCGTCACGGCATTATGCCGGGTGAGCGCCCCTGTATAGTGCCGTAACGAAAATCAAATAGGGGGGTCTTTTTTTCGTTAGTGCATTATGGCGGGTAGCAGCAGTTAGCATGACCTCACGACCTGCTACCACACTCCACAGTGGCTCCTCAGTGCTCACGTGGCTGGTGTGGTGAGAGGAAGTGTTGCATGTTTGTCATGCATCAGCACCAGCTTTTGTCCGGTGTTCCCTTTGGTTTTGGGATTATACATGTTTGATTATACATGTTTGATTATACATGTTTGATTATACATGTTTGATTATACATGTTTGATTATACATGTTTGATTATACATGTTTGATTATACATGTTTGATTATACATGTTTGATTATACATGTTTGATTATACATGTTTGATTATACATGTTTGATTATACATGTTTGATTATACATGTTTGATTATACATGTTTGATTATACATGTTTGATTATACATGTTTGATTATACATGTTTAATTATGGATATAAGAAATACAGAGTGAAAGTCAAAAGATGTTCTCATACAAAATCTTTCATTTAAAACCAAAAACATTTTACTGATATATTCTCCAAATATTTTTTGCACTATTGTCTTTGTTGTCCTTTATTATTACTACTGTAAACTGTCTTGTATATTTATTATTACTACTGTAAACTGTCTTGTATATTTATTACTACTGTAAACTGTCTTGTATATTTATTACTACTGTAAACTGTCTTGTATATTTATTACTACTGTAAACTGTCTTGTATATTTATTATTACTACTGTAAACTGTCCTTTCTTAGGTCAATAAAAATTCCTATTGGATATTCCTTATTTTCCAATGCTGTGTAAAGCAGATCTAGCATTTTTATGATTGCATCATTAGTGCTTTTATTTTTCCTGAATCCAAATTGGCAAGAGTTGAGTATGTTTTGTGTAGTTATAAATGAATATAGTCTCCTGTGCACGAGTTTCTCAAAGATTTTGGATAGCAATGGTAAGTTTGATATTGGCCTATAGTGGTTTAAGTCTGTAGGGTCACCACCTTTATGTATTGGTGTAACCCTTGCCATCTTGAGTAGTTTCGGGAAGGTGCTAGTTTCTAGTGACTTGTTAAAAAGTAATGAAATAGCATGCAAAAGGACATGGGCCGCTCGCTTGTACAGTAATGGTGGGACATGAGACAGATTCCCTGAGTTATTTTTAAGTGACTTTATAATCTCGGTGACTTCCGAGGGCTCAGTTGGTGCAAGATAGAAGGAATTTGGGAAATTCCCATCTAGGTAGTCCCCAGCATGGGCATTGGTATGTGGGATTTTATTGGCGAGATTAGATCCTATGGTTGAGAAGAAGTCGTTTATCTTGTTAGCTGTGTCAGTGGGATGTAGTGGTGTTTCATTAGGTTTAGTTAGGACAATATTCTTGGTTTCTTTCAGTTTGTGGGTCCCTAGAATCTGAGAGAGCGTTTTCCAGGTCTTTTTTATATGTCCTCTAGTGTCAGTGAATCTACTGGAGTAGTATAGTTGTTTGGCTTTCTTTATTACTTTGGTAAGAACTGATGAATAGTGTTTAAGAGTATCTTTGTGTATTAAGCTCTGTCTATATTGCTTTTCATATTGGTGTTTCTTGTCCATGGATTTCAGAATGGTGCTGGTTAGCCATGGGCAACCAAGCTGTTTGTTTGTGATCTGTTTCGTTTTTATAGGACAATGTTTGTTGTATAGTCTAAGTAATTTGTTAAGAAAAATGTCTGTCCAGTCATCAATACCATTGGCCTTGGAGAATTCTGTAGGCCAGTCAACAGTCTCTAGGTCAGCTGTGAACTTCCTTATTGAGGCCTCATCATGGAGTCTAAATGAAACTTTGTTGTATTCAAGTGGTGGTTTACTAATGTTTGTCAGGAGGAAGGTAGGGTAGTGGTCTGTAGTGCTATCTGTGATTATCCCTGATTTAAGGGGGACTAGTATATTAGTCCACATGTGGTCTATTATGGTTGCACTTGTCTCAGTGAGCCTGGTTGGTTTAGTTATTGTTGGTATGAGAAGTATGTTGTTAATATTGTTGATGAAATCAGTTACAGGCTGATCATCTAGTATGCCAAGGTTGATGTTGAAGTCTCCAGCTAAGAGAAGGTGGTGCTTATTCATTTGTCTGTTTGTTATTAGTGACTTTAATTTCTCACTGAAATTTTGGATGTTTGTGTGAGGTATCCGGTAAATGGCACCGATTGTTATAGGCGTCTTAAGGTTTTTTACAGTAAAATTAGCTAAAATGTATTCCCCATATTCATCACTAAAGCAAGTGGTGCTAATACAAGATAATTGGTTAGAGTAATAGATTGCAATACCACCCCCAACTTGGTTTGTTCTGCAGTTGTGAATTGCTGTGTATCCTGGTAGTGGGTAGATATCTATTGTGTCCTGCTTAAGCCAGGTCTCAGTAAGAATAATGCAGGAGAAGGGTGTCTTTAGTGATTCAAGGAGTGCCAGGAGGTCATCATAGTGTTTGCTTAAGAACCTGATGTTGTAGTTAAGTACTGATAGACTTTTAGCATTGTTGAGGATAGTGCTGGCTTGTGATGCTGTGTAATAAAGGCAGTTACTTTCCAATAGGTTTTGATTGGGTGTCAGATTATGGAGGTTTAGATCAGGGTCAACGTGATCAATCATCTTCTAGGTTTAAATTATGGTTATTTATATCCTGAGTTGTGTTGAGTTCTAGTACTGATATTTGTAGTGGTGGGAAGTTTGGACAAGTATATAGCTAGAGTATTTTGGTCATATAGAGTATAGTCACTGCTTTGTATATTTATTACTACTGTAAACTGTCTTGTATATTTATCATTACTACTGTAAACTCTCTTGTATATTTATTAATATTACTGTAAACTGTCTTGTATATTTATTACTACTGTAAACTGTCTTGTATATTTATTAATACTGTAAACTGTCTTGTATATTTATTACTACTGTAAACTGTCTTGTATATTTATTACTACTGTAAACTGTCTTGTATATTTATTACTACTGTAAACTGTCTTGTATATTTATTACTACTGTAAACTGTCTTGTATATTTATCATTACTATGGTAAACTGTCTTGTATATTTATTATTACTACTGTAAACTCTCTTGTATATTTATCATTACTACGGTAAACTATCTTGTATATTTCAATACCCAGGCATTGGGTTACAAAATAATGTTGTTAGAAGAACCATAATTTACCTTCTGTCTGCTGCCAGTTTACTCAAGGCTTCTCTCAGCGTCGTTACTGTCACCTCACCAGCTGCTACCACAGTGCCTATCCCTGTAGTTGAAAAGCAACGAAAAAAGTATACAAGTCTACATATACACACTGAAATTTTACTTACTATCCAGTAAAATAAGTAAATGACCCTGGAGTTTATAGTTACTAACCCACAACATCCCCACTGTACTTCTCACTTCCTAGACTCGAACTAAGTCAATGAAATTTGGAATGAAATTTGCTGTACTGTTTACGCTCACACATCATATCTCAAAAATCACTTGTCTTAACTCTGATCAAACAAACTCGTATGCATTCTGAATGCTCAAACATATATTTTTCACAAATTTTACATCATTTATTCATTTCATTCTGTCACATACACCTGTTTCCACCCACCCTGGGTGTATATACCCTCTTAATCAATGTGTCCTGATAGATAACCCAACCATTGCACCAACCCATCTTCCACTCTCAGAATTATAGCTTCTATGTACAACAGAGAGGAAAAATAATGTAAGGGACCTGGGAGTGGTAATGTCTGAGGATCTCACTTTCAAGGATCACAACAGTGCCACGATCACAAGTGCAAAGAAAATGTTAGGATGGATAATGAGAACGTTCAAAACGAGAGATGCCAAGCCAATGATGAGTCTTTTCAAATCTCTTGTTCTCTCTAGGCTGGAATACTGCTGTACATTAACATCTCCATTCAAAGCAGGTGAAACTGCAGATCTAGAGAGTGTCCAGAGAACCTTTACTGCACGTATAAGTTCTGTCAAGCACCTTAACTACTGGGAACGCCTGGAAGCACTGGACTTGTACTCGTTGGAACGCAGGAGGGAGAGATATATCATAATCTACACTTGGAAAATCCTGGAGGGAATGATCCCGAATCTGCACACAGAAATCACTCCCTACTAAAGTAAAAGACTGAGCAGGCGATGTAGAATACCTCCAATTAAAAGTAGGGGCGCCATTGGTACATTAAGGGAAAACACCATAAGTGTCCGGGGCCCAAGACTGTTCAACAGCCTCCCACCAAGCATAAGAGGAATTACCAATAAACCCCTGGCTGCCTTCAAGAGAGAGCTAGACAGATACCTAAAGTCAGTGCCGGATCAGCTGGGCTGTGGTTCGTACGTTGAACTGCATGCGGCCAGCAGTAACAACCTGGTTGATCATGCCCTGGTCCACCGAGAGGCCTGGTCGTGGACCGGGCCGCGGGGGCGTTGATCCCAGGAATAACCTCCAGGTAGGTATGTCACTGCGCCATCTTTTAATTTGTATTCACTAATCTCAACTTTATTACCTCACTTCTGTGTGACCACTTTCACTTTCTCTTGTATATCTTACTGCCCATCCTTATTAACTTCTACTTCTCTTCTACATCTCAAAAAAATTACTGTCATCAGCAAACAGCGTCTGTTTACCTGGAGAGGGGTTCGGGGGTCAACGCCCCACCGGCTCGGTCTGAGACCAGGTCTCATGGTGGATCAGGGTCTGATCAACCAGGCTGTTACTGCTCGCTGCACGCAAACTGACATAAGAGCTGCCTGTCCAGTGCCTTCTTACAAACAGCCAGGGATCTATTGGTAATCCCCCCCGTATGTGTATTGGGAGGCAGTTGAACAGTCTTGGTCCCCTGACACTTATTGTGCTGTCTCTTAGCGTACTCATTTAGCGCCTTCTTTTCATTAGGGGAATGAATCTTTAAAAGGGCCATAGAAAACAATATGAAGTTAAAAATAGAAACTTTCCAATTACTCCATTATGGAAAATACCAGGAAATTAAAACTGTATCGGAGTATAAAACAAATTCCAATTACACAGCAGAGTGAAAACTAGTGTGAAGGACCTGGGAGTGGTAATGTCAGAGGATCACACTTTCAAAGGTCACAACTATGTATCTACCAAGTCTGCTAAGAAATGATTGGATGGATAATGAGAACCTTCAAAAGTAGAGACGCCAAGCCCATGATGATTCTCTTTATATCTCTTCTCTCTAGGCTGAAATATTGCTGTACATAACGGCCCCTTTCAAGGCTGGCGAAATTGTAGACCTGGAGAATGTACAGAGAACTTTCATGGTACTATATATAAGTACGATACTGTACCTAAAATACTGGAAACAGTTGAGGTTCCTTCATTTGTATTCTGTGGAATGCAGGCGAAAAAGATACATGATAATATACACCTAGGAAATCCTAAAGGGACTAGTCCCAAATTTGCAGCCGAAAATCACTTCCTGCGAAAGCAAAAGATTCGGCAGGACATGCAACATTCTACCATTGAAAAGCTGGGAGGCCACGAGTACACTGAGAGACAAAACAAGTGTCAGGGACCCAAGACTGTTCAACTCCCTCCCAGCATACATAAGGGGGATTACCCATAGACCCCCGGGTCACTTCCAGAAGGCACTGGACTGGAACCTAAAGTCAGTACCTGACCAACCAGACTATAGTTCAAATATCGTTTAGCGTGCAGCAAATTGCAAAAGCTTCGTTGATCAGTCCCTAATTCATTGCGAGGCCTGGTCACAGACCGGGCCGCGGGGGCGTTGACCCCCGCAATAATACTCACCTACACGCAATAATACTCACCCACACGCAACAATACTCTCCCACACGCAGTAACACTCTCCCACACGCAATAATACTCACCCACACTCAATAATATTCACCCACACGCAATAATACTCTCCCACACGCAATAATACTCACCCACATGCAATAACACTCTCCTACACGCAATACTCTCCACACGCAATAATACTCACCCAAAAGCAATAATACTATCCCAACACGCAATATACTCTCCCACACGCAATAATACTCACCCACATGCAATAACACTCTCCTAACACGCAATACTCTCCCACACCTGCAATAATACTCACCCACAAGCAATAATACTATCCACACGCAATAATACTCACCAACGCGCAATAATACTCTCCCACACGCAATAATACTCACCCACACGCAATAATACTCTCCCTCACGCAATAATACTCTCCCACACGCAATAATACTCACCCACACGCAATAATACTCACCCACACGCAATAATACTCACCCACACGCAATAATACTCACCCACACGCAACAATACTCTCCCACACGCAATAATACTCTCCCACACGCATAACTACTCACCCACACGCAAATAATACTCTCCACACGCAATAATACTCTCCCACACGCAATAATACTCTCCCACACGCAATAATACTCACCCACACGCAATAATACTCTCCCACACGCAATAATACTCTCCCACACGCAATAATACTCTCCCACAACGCAACAATACCTCTCCACACGCAATAATACTCACCCACACGCATAATATCATCCACACGCATAATAATCTCCAACGCAATTATTACTCTCCCAAACGCAATAATACTCTCCCCACACGCAAACAAATACTCTCCCACACGCAATAATACTCCCACACGCAATAATACTCCATCACACGCAAATAATAATCTCCACACGCAATAATACTCTCCCACACGTAATAATACTCACCCACACGCAATAATACTCTCCCACCGCAATAATACTTCCCATCAGCAATAATACTCTCCTCACGCAAATAATTACTCACCCACACGAAATAATACTCACCTCAGGCAATAATACTCTCCTACACGCAATAATACTCTCCCACAATAATATTACCCCCTTCCCCACCCCCCCCCCCCCCCCCCCCAAAACCCACACGACAATAATGCTTTCCACACGCAATAATACTTCCCCACACGGCAATAATACTCACAACTCGCAATTATACTCACCACACGCAATAATACTTCCCACCCGCAATAATACTTCCCACACGCAATAATACTCTCCACACGCAATAATACTCACACACACGCAATTATTACTCTACCCGCCGGCAATACCCTCAATAATACTCTCCACACAGCATTAATACTCTCCCCACACGTAAAAATACTCACCCCACACGCAAATGCTTTCCCACACGCAATAATAATCACCCACACGCAATAATACTCACCCACACGCAATTATATTTCACCACACGCAATATACTCTCCCACACGCAATAATACTCTTCCCACACGCAATATACTCAACACATGGAAATAATACTCTTCCCACAGGCAATAATATCTCCACACGCAATAAATAACTCACCCACACGCAATAATACTCTCCCACAGGCAATAATGCTCACCCACACGCAATTAATACTCCACCCACAAGGCATTAATGCACTCCCAACGCAATAATACCCGCGCATTGATACTCACCACACGCAATAATACTCTCCCAAACGCATACAATCTCACCACACGCAAAAATACTCTACACACGCAATTAATATCACCCCACAACGCAATACTACTTTCCCACACGGAATAATTCTTCTCCCACACGCATTAATACTCACAAACACGCAAAAGTGCCTCACCCACACGAGATTTAATACTAACCCACTAGCAATAATACTCTACCCACACGCAATAATACTCACCCACACGCAATTAATACCCAACAACGCAATACTCACCGACTCGAAATGATAACCACCACCACGCTAATAATACCCACACTCAATATACTCTCCCCACACGAAATAATACTCCCCCACACGCAATAAATACTCACCCCACACGCAAAAATACTCACCACACACCACTGTACCCAACACAAGCCAATAATGCTCTCCCAACGCAATAATACTCTCCCCACGCAATAAACTCTCCCACACGCAATAATACTCCACCAAAAACGTCAACCCTATACTCACCCACCGAATATTACTCACCCACTCGCAATAATACTCACCCACTCTCAATATACTCACCCACACGAAATAATACTCACCCCACGACAATCTACCAACACTTCATAATACTCACCCACTCTCATTAATACTTCACCCTCACGCAATAAAATAATACTTTACTCCACAAGCTTAATACTCACCCACACGCAATATACTCACCCCAAGCCATAATACTCTCACACAAGCAAATAATACTCTCCCACACGCAATGTACCTCACCACACGCATACAATTACTCTAACTACCCGCAATAATACCCACACAATAATACTGTCCCACATAAAACATCACCACAAGCAATTATACACACACCAACGCAAAATATGCTCACACACCGCAATAATACCAACACACGCAAAATGCTCACCCAAACGCCAGTAAAACCAATCGCATTTATACCTACTCGCAATAATACCCACACGCAATATTACTGTCCACATAATTCTCAACCCACACGCAATTATAGCCCACCCACACGCAATAATACTCACCTACACTCAATAATACCCACGCAATAATACTCTCCCACACGTCAAGATACTCCCACACGCAATAATACTCTCCATACGACAATTCTACCCACCCATACGCAATATGCTAACCACACGACATTATACTCACCCTCACCGCAATAATACCCCCCAACACGCAATAATCTCGACACACCGCAATAATGTCTTCCACACGCAATAATACTCACCCACAGAAATATTCTCCCACACCGCAATAATACTCTCCCACACGAATTAAATACTCAACCTTGCCTGGAGATTACTGGAGGATATTCCGGGGATCAACGCCCCCGCTCCCCGTCCACGAGACCTGGCCCCCGGTGGTTTCTGGGCCTGATCAACAGGCTGTTCACTGATGGCTGCACCAAGTCCAACGTCACGAACAACAGGCCTATCTGATCGGGCACTTACTTTAAGTATGTGGAATACTAGATATTTATTAATGATAAATAAAGATACCAGATATACTGGAGTTTACATGGAGTGAGTTCGGGGTTCAACGACCCCCTCGGCCGGTCTGTGACCAGACTCCTGGGGGATCAGAGCCTGATCAACCAGGCTGTTGTGATGGCTGCACGCAAAACAAACGTACGAGCAAAGCCAGCTGAGTCAGGAAACAGACTTTAGGTGATTGTCCCAGTGCCAAGCTTGAAGTCTGCCAGGGGTTGTTGGTATATTCCCCCTTATGTATGCTGGGAGGACAGGTTGAAAAGTCTCGGGCCCCTGACACTTATTGTATCGGTCTTTAACGTGCTAGTGACAACCCTGCTTTTCATTGGGGGGATGGTGCATCGTCTGCCAGTCTTTTGCTTTCGCTAGTGAGTGATTTTCGTGTGCAAGTTCGGTACTAGTCCCTCTAGGATTTCCCAGGTGTATATAATCATGCAAATTTCCTCAATTTTGTTGTAACAAATAAGTGAAAAATAGATATGAATCCAAATCTACTCCTGTTAAACTATTTTGTGGCCCTAGTTCCTGGGTCTTGTGAGGTATCTTCCGTAGTGCACTGCCTCCACAGGAGGGATGTGAGGTTCTGTGTTACTCATATTGATGTTGCACTGCCTCCACAGGATAGATGTGAGGTGCTGTGTATCCATATGTTGTTGCACTGCCTCCACAGGATAGATGTGAGGTGCTGTGTATCCATATGTTGTTTGCACTGCATAAATGGATGGATTTTTTGTGAGTGCTGTGTATCCTATGTTGTTGCACTGCCTCCACAGGATGGATGTGAGGTGCTGTGTATCCATATGTTGTTGCACTGCCTCCACAGGATGGATGTGAGGTGCTGTGTACCCATATGTTGTTGCACTGCTCACAGATTGGATGTGAGGTGCTGTGTATCCATATGTTGTTGCACTGCCTCCACAGGATGGATGTGAGGTGCTGTGCATCCATATGTTGTTGCACTGCCTCCACAGGATGGATGTGAGGTGCTGTGCATCCATATGTTGTTGCACTGCCTCCACAGGATGGATGTGGCAAAATTTGAGGTGCTGTCTGGCTTCCATTTTTGTTGCAATGCCTCCACGGGATGGATTGTGGAGGTGCTCGTGCATCCATTATGTTGTTGCACTGCCTAACAGGTTGGAAGTGAGGGTGCTGGGTATCCATATGTGTTGCACTTGCCTCCAAAGGATGGATGTGAGGTGCTGTGTACCCGTATGTTGTTGCACTGCCTCCACAGGATGGATGTGAGGTGCCTGTGCATCATATGTTTGTTGCACTGACTTCCACAGGATGGATGTGGCAAAATATTAATCACTCAACTGTCTAAAAAACTAATAATAGGTTCTAAACCCTTCCTAATAGCCTCTTAATAATAATAATAATAATAATCACAGCAACAATAATAATAATGATAATAAGAGCAACATAAGCAATAATAATAATTATATGGAGTCAAGTATAATAATAATATTAATAATCTAATAATTAATAATTAATCATATAAGAATAATCTAATAATTATAAATATAATAATCATAAGAACAATATAATAATTAATAATAATAATTATAATAATAATAATAATAACAGCTACATCAGATAACAATAACAAAATAATAATAATAATCCTTTATATCTACGAGTTCAAAAGATAAACTCAGATAGGCCTATCAACCACCTAGGTATGGGAGGGCTGCTGCAGCCAGTGTCTGCGTCAGCAGTGACAGGCAGACACAGGAAAGGAGAAGCAAAGTAGAAAGCAGCATTGAGGTCTGTCTCACCACGGTTGATATCAGTAGACGGTGGCGAGGATGGTCTGAATTGACGGGGATTTAGAGACCAGCGTGGTCAATCACTTTGCTCAGTGTAATGACATTCACTTAAGTTGTTTTAGTTGCTACGAAAATTTCAGTAGAGATAAAATATTGTTATTATTTAAAATGCTCATTTGGCGCAAATCAGAGTAATACACAACTGAAGGGTGCATCGATATCTTGAAGGGGAGCATTGTTTTAATTATATCACAGTTTGATTAGGGAGTCAAGGGAAAGCTCATGGAGTCTAATGCATGTTTGCTGCATTCACAGTGACCTCACGCTAAGATCATTTTGACACAAATTAAGGATCCCAGGTTATAAACTTTATTCAGGTGCTACAAACTATACAGGCAACAGGGGGAGGGGACAGATTTGGCCTGTACGTCATAAAAATCGCCTCATTTGCTCAGAAATCTAAACAATCATAATGATGTAGTTGAAGTTTTGGCAGTTTTAAATTGTAAAACCAAATCCTAGTCATTGTGTGGCTATTCGCTTGGGATGCAAACTTCCTTGTAATCCAAGAAGAACAGCTTTTGGTGAAACTGACCTTATCTGGAAAAATCTCCCAACTCCTGCCCCAAACATCTTGCTACTGGGGGATTTCAACTCGAGACAACCTAACTTGGAGGAGTGTAGTGTAGGCAAGTTAAGATTTTAGCAGAGATCACCCAGGAGGAAGCTCAGAGGAATATTCACACACACCACGAACTATTAAATCTCTGCCACCAAAATTCAACTTAACCAGCTAATATTACTTCCTACATGACTTGAAAATTTGTGCTGGATCCAATCTTCAATAACAATGACGTTTCTGATATGAAATGTTACCGTATTCAAAGTTTATTCTCTATATGGATTCAATGCTGAGTTTACAGTAATTTGGTTTTTGTTTGGTTTTACACTGTAGTTAAATTGTGATTACAGAGTGTACACACTAGGATCGCTTAGCATGGTTTAGGCATTCGGGCTTTCTTAGTTTTCATTCTTAATTGTAAAATTTTAAATTTGAGGTAAGTTGGTATATGGCTAAGTTGATAAATACTAGTGTTTGTGAGTTTAGCAAGTGAATGGTGTTTTGTTTTGGACGCACAGTACATAGTTTCAGTATTGGAGTATCACAGGATTCATTATTTTAAGACTGAGTTTAATATTTATGTTTTATGGCTCTCAAAAAATGAGTGAGTGAGTGTAAGTGTGAACCACCCAGGTGGTATTAGTGTAGTTAGTTGACGGGGTGTATCAGGGAGATAAAGATGTTTTATAATGGTAGTTTTGATGGTGATGAATGTGTCTGCAGTTCATAGAGTTCTAGGTAGTTGTATTCCAGATTTTAGGGCCTTTGACATACATTGAATTTTTGTTAAAGAGTTTTAGTTGGACACGGGGAATGTCGTAGAGATGTTTGTGTTGGTGTTATGCCTTGTGCGGTTTGAACAACTATCAGAAAGCGTTTTAGGTCAAGGATGTTTTTAGAGTCAGGCCTTGTAGTGATATAGATGCACAGTAGTAAGTGTGGATGGTACTGAACTGGGAGTAAGGTTTGATCTATGAAGAGTGGTGGGGGTGTTGTTGCCAGGGATGGGAGTTAGTGTTTATTCTTACTGTAGCTTTTTGTTGGGTTATTATTGGCTTTAGGTGTGTTGTGCCAGTTAATCCCCAAGCACAAATAGCATAGGTGAGAGTATGGATAATGAGTGGTATAGTGTGAAGAAGGGCATTTCTGCTGCATGTAGTATCGTATCTTGGAGAGGATCCCAACCGTTTTGGAACTTTTTTGGCAATTTGCTGGATATGGGTGCATGAAATTCAGGTTGTTTGTCAAGGTTTTTACCTAGAATTTTCCCCCTTTATTTCTGGGAATTAGAGTGTTGTTCAAATCTTTATGTTTTTTTGTGGCATATCCTACCACTCTGCTACCTAAATATTTTATAGTAGGTTTTGTCGTGTTAGCGTAAGTTTATTGGCTGTCATCCAAGTCGATATTTTAATCAGCTCCTCATTCACAATGGTGTGAGGGTGGCAGATTAGGGGTGAGAGATGACATAAGTCGTGTCATCAGCAAAGAGAATGGGTTTAAGGTGTTGGGATACGTACCCAACATTTGGAAGGTATTGCTGTATATGAGGAAAGAGCAGGGGGACCAAGGAAACTTCCCTGCGGAACTCCAGTATCATGTGGACGTTTGTTGCTGATGCTGTGTCTTTAATGGTGACCGTAACTGTTACCTATTAGTAATGTAAGATTTGAAATAAGCAAAGCGATGGGCCTCTATACCATAGTGATTCAAGTTTGTGGAGTAGGTTGTTATGGTTTCGGTTTCAAAAGCTTTTCTTAGAGTCAATAAAAATTACTAGGGATTTTCCTTATTTTCCTATGTTGTGTAAAGCAGATCATAGCATTTTTCTGATTGCTCATTAGTGCTTTTATTTTTCTATATCATACTGGGCAGGGGTTGTGTATGTTTTTTGAGCCGTTATAAATGAATACAGTCTCCTGTGCACGAGTTTCTCAAAGATTTTGGATAGCAATGGTAAGTTAGATATTTTTTTTTTATATTTTATTTAAAACCATACACAAACATGAGTCACAAGCAAATTCAAACAAATATATGGCACTGAAATGAAAATCCCTACATCGGATATTGAAACAATACTATTTACATTACATTGTTATACATTATAACAACTATAACCATTATCTTTATCTGATGCCGATGCTTTAGCTGTTCATAAACTAGATACATGTGTCATAAGTTTACACTATAGTAAAAATGCACCTAATTCTTCATCAAATTAAGCATTCTATCTCTTAATTATCTCGGAATTGAATATGTACAGTTACAATTTTCTTCATTTTTTTTTTCAAATTCATTATGCATGATCACAAGAAAGGAATATAGAATAAGAATGGACCTACATAAATTTAGAAAACCTTCATATACAAACCTACGACACTATCAGCACAGGTTTTGGATACATCCCTCTACTTTCAGAGAATACGTTCAAAATTTTTCCCAATATAATTGCTTGCCATAACAACATTGAACCTCCTTGTTATAATAAATAGTCTCTGTCAATGTCAGATACTTACACCATTATTCTTAAGTTTTTTTTTTTTTTTATTTTAGTTAAAACAGTGCCGTACAAATGACAGAAATATATTAAAAAGATACACAACAAAAGATTACTGCACTAGAATCGCACTTAAACCGGGACTAATAACGTCAACCATACAGTACAGTGGTATACACACGCACACACAACAACGTTTTGTTAACATTGGTATACACTCACACACAAACACCACCGTATGTTACATTGGTATTAAACTCACATCACAACACCGTATGTTACATTGTATTAACTCACCACAACACACCGTATATTTACAGTGGTAATACACACACTCAACACACCACACTGGATGTTACATTGGTATTACACTCACAAACAACACACCGTTATGTTACATTGGTATTTTCACTCACACAACTAATCACACCGTATATTAACAGTGGTATTACATGTCACCTCACACACACACACACTGTTAAGTTACTTGGTATTAACATCACACCAACACACCGAATGTTACATGGTATTACACCTCACACACAACACACGTATATTACAGTGAATATACACTCACACACACAAAACACAGTATATTCAGTGGTTAATACCACTCAAAACAAACCATATACATTACAGTGGTATTGTTTATTTGTAAAAGACATCTCTACTAGGTACATATTAACAAACATCAAACACTGGAAATTTGAAAGATTGTACAATAAAACAGGAGAAAACAAAACAAACAACACGCACAATGACACACAAGCACACACGTTACACTATCATGAGACTAATATCAGGCACATACTAGGTGGGGTTTATGCTGTTCAAACACGTATGCAAGGACTATTCTAAGATCTCAGGTGCTTAAACAGAGCACCACGATACTCAAAACATTATTTTTGGCGGATTATCACGAGTATTACAAACTTAGGTATTTTGTATTTCAAATGAAGGAAACGGTATTATACTAAAAGTCCACTATAAAAACATCCAATATAACAAAACAAAATACGATGTGATATTTTATCTCAGCACAACAAAGAAAATAATTGACAAACTTGTTAATATAATATAATATTACTGAAAAGGCACACTGTAACACAAGAATAAAATATAAACATAAATATTACACAATTGCTATATGCTAGGAAAACACTTTTTACCACTTTTCAATTGAATCAAAAACAGTAAGACACCTATAACATATTTGAGTCACATTGAAAATTATAATCATAAAGTCCTTGAAATGATTTTTAACCTTGTTTAATATGCAATCTTAGTGCTACACCTTTCTAAATGATATTATGTGTAGTTCCTGAAACCATCGGGGTAATAACCCTATTGTCTCTAGATATCAAAACTCAAGTTATACATCCATATAAAACAGCTCTCCACTTGCTCACACCACAATGTTAGGAAAAATAGCACGTCGTATCCCCTTGCCCATTTTGCAAATCCCATAATCCTTAATGTTGAAATTTTCGATAAACCTCACTAAAATCTCTCTCCCTATTGCCCTCCATAACCTCTTTATTTCTACACTGTGTCCTATAAAAAAGTTGCTGCCAATGCATTAATTCTTGCCCGCAAGTCGCCTCCCTTCATAGCCACACTTCTGTTATATTAATCCGTAATCATATACCCAATCGCATCTCAACCATTTTATTCACCCCAGGTTATATTCTAAACTTAAACCTCAAGACCTGCAAACCCCTCCCCCACTAACTTATAACTTACCATCCAAAAAACCCTTATAGTTCAATTACAATCGCAAAAATATACATATGATAAAATATTCGCTATCCTCCACATCCTTGCATTCCCCAATCCTCTCGTATTCTCTTATAAGAATAAAAACCATTTCCTGACGGCAAAGATTCCATGTAAAAATCTATATCTTATCTTCTTTGACTTTAGGT